TCGTTCTTTCCAGTCAATGCTTCAACCAGCTCTGCACGACCACTATCAGTGAACACATAATTTCCTGATACGCATTCTTCGGTAAGCTCGTATTCTGAAGACAGATTATCAGAATGGCCAAGAATGACTTTTGCTTCACCCACGTCATAGTATCGATCCACGTCTCTTAATTCAGATATTTTCTGTGGAAGATAACTTATTACATCCTCTGCGGCTTCCTTTAACACACTCCACGAGCATGTTGTATTGGAACATTTAGCGGAGTCAGTTTCTTCAACAAAACGATCGCACACGGCAAGAGCGAGGAATGCGCAACAGTTCACACCATTAACTAGTGGTGGATCCGTGTCCATGACCACATCATCAAAATTTTTTGCAGAATTCACTTTCATAGCCAATTCATGGTCGTGTTGCTCGATGGCAGTTGCTTGACTCACCGACAATGGATAACACTGAAATAACTGCTCTGGTTGATTAGAATTGAAGAGATCAAGAACCTGGGATGCTGATGGTCTAGAATTGGAATCGAAGGTGCAACAAGATTTGAATGCCTGTTCAATTTGCCACCACTCGGTAACCCTAAGCAATTCATACTTCCTGTCGTGTTCAGGCAGCTTTTGCTGTTTCATGTAATCCTTGAATGCTTCTTCCAAATTGATTACACCAAGCTGTTCAAATTCGGCTCCGTAAGGGCCGCCGAGGTTTGGATTGATTAATATGAACATTATCATGCCCAAAGCCCAGATGTCAGCGTTTTTCAGTTCTTTTTGGCCGGCTTTAAAAAATTGCTGTAAGTGAATTTCCGGTGCCATGAAAGCTAGAGTGCCACGGCAGACCGATACCGTTTGTGACATCAAAAAAGATTTGGTTTGCAAATCGAGGGACCGACTTAGACCAAAGTCAGCAAGTTTGCACACGATAGGGCATTGTCCATAGGTGTTGGCAAGATCAATCTCACTGTCAGAGCAACCAATATAATGCTGATTCGTTACTAAAACATTCCCTGGTTTAAGATCGCGATGGGCAATATCCATGTCGTGCAAATGTTGCAAACCAGCACTTATATCTTTAGCACACGTGGGCATGATATCGGCAAACGAATGGAATTCAAATTCCTCATCAATAAAATGAAGGAGGTCTTCCAAACTGCTGACCGTTTTTTCGATACCAAAAGGTCGAAAATCAAAGACTGAATGCTCCATCATAATAGCATGTGGATCGTCACAAAAACCTAAAAATTTGATGATATTTCTATGACCTTGAGTTTTATTTAGCAACGCTGCTTCTTTTCGACAACGAGCTTTAGAATCGTACGAATTACATTTGACTTTTTTCACTACGACGTTTTCATCCCTGCCAACGCATTTCCCGATGTAAACTGATCCAAAAGTTCCACTGCCAAGTTTCTTCTCCTTTTGAAAAGTCGCCCAGTTAAATATTGGAAGGTTAAAACTATTTTTTTCCTTCTTTTTTAGCGAAGGAAGCTTGAACAACCCTGCCATAATGGCGAATAGAAAGTGGGCAACTGTGCGCAACACGTGCGCCGGATATGATTATACATGCATGCATGCTCTAACCTGATATCAGGCCGATATACTTCCCTTCCTTAATTCCAGGCAAAGCCTACGGTTTTAGAAATTATACATTTTTAGTATTTTTGTACAAGTTAATATAACAAATCCTACATTCCGATTGGTCAAATTTGACGTATTATGCTGTTATATTCACATTCAGTGGCTGTGGCTACGAGGTGTCCAGGCCAAACCCGGGCATAATATCCGATCTCGACTTATTTTTATTTTTTAGAATGCCTTCAAACTTCTCTTAAAGCAACGCTTTTGTGCTTGTGGAAACGTTAAAATGACGATTTCAATACTTGCGTGAGTCAATATTAATCCTCACACCCCTCGCCCTACCTGGGCCAAGGTGGGACACTAGGGGGTATAACAGGAACGCAGTAGTAGTTCATATTACAGTTAACTGATTGAACACCCGCTCTCAGCCGAAATTTAAATTCCGCACTTTTACTATTTTGAATAAAATCAGGGAAAAATTTATAATACAAATTGGAGGGTGATCTATCTTTGTAAAAAAGTGGACGTTAAGATTTTATACCTTACTTGTCTACAATGCAATCGTTTCCAAAATTTTGCAAATAAATAATTAATACACACAACAATCGGTTCGAGCCTTCGGCTTCACAGATAACAAAAACCTTGGTCTTAAAAATTCCTTATATCCTGCTCAACCCCATCCAATAATTGTTTATTATTAGTTACAAAACAACATCACATCATATTACTATTAAATATTTCGCATAAATTGAAAAAGGAAAAAAATCGATATGTGTTTATGCGTCGTATGCGTGTATGTATGTAGAATCAATCATTTCAAAAATGTTTAACATTGGAAATATGCAACCATGGATAATAAACAATAATTAAATTACTCGCTATATTAATAAAATTAATATTTACTTAAATATTCCTATTTACTAATATTTACATAAAAACGGACAAATTACAGTGATAATATTCGAAGTAGTGGCAAAAACAACGGGTTTCCTTCAACAGGTACATTGGCTGACAATCTAGAATTAAAAAAAAGTTCATTAATCTAGATGCTCGCATTCTTCTTATTCCCGTATTTTCCCTTTTCCCCAATAGACCTTTTTCATAATGACGTCAAACGCGGAAAGTATGATGTTACACGAAGTTTGATTGGCTCGATAGTTTTCTGGAGCAAATCAAACTTCGTGTAACATCAGACTTTCCGCGTTTGACGTCATTATAAGAAAGGTCTAATTCCGCATGGCTTCTAATCTTACTCCCTTCTCACTTTCTCCTAGACTTGCATTTTCTTATTCCTATTTCTCGTATTCCTCCATTTCCCCTATAATTACTTCCCGCATTCCCCGATTCCCGCAAATGCGGAAATGGGGGAACAGGAGAACCGGGGAGCGTGAAAACCGAGGAGCATGTAGGGGGATGGAGGAACTGGGGAAAGGAGGAACTGGGGAGCGCAAGAACTAGGGGAGCAGGAGAACTGGGGAATTGACTGAACCTGTTTCCAGAGGAACGGAGGAACAAGAGAATGAGCGCGAGCACTAGGGGATGGGGAGCGGGGAAAAGGGGAATTCCCCGCGGTGGCTCTGTTCCCCCATTGCCCATTTCTCCTGCTCCCCATATGTGTATTATATAATTAAGGTAAACTAACATTTGGAGAATTCATTTCTGGAGTAGCATGCCATTGGCCCATCGCCAGTGTAATACATACATTCCTTATTGCTATAAATACATATATAATCAAGTAGGGCATTTTTAGATATTTATTGTAGTACAGGAAGTATTTATGTATTCCAATAAATGACATAAAAAGGTTATATACATACATAGTATTCAGTATTGCAATGCTTGCATGCCAATTTGAGGTTCACACAGCATATATCTAGATTTCTTATCAAATATTTAATAATTATAAAGTGCATGCAAACATTGCTTATTACTTAATTACCAAGTTATTCATAAAATGCACATTGTTGCTTCACTGTAACCAAAAATGTTTCTTCCAACAAAACATATTCATCATAATTAATTTATATGTTTCCCAAAAAGTTTGTTGTCTAAAATCAGTGCAGTAAACCAATCTGGGTATACTAGTAATTTTTAAAAAGCCAGGGTTAAATAGTATATAGGGAAAGTACTTTCTGATATAATGTTTTCATAAAACTAGCTATGGGCCTGAGACTTCCTACCAAGTGAATTGAGGAATGAGACTCATTAATAATGCCAAGATTTTATAAAATTTTAAGCTTTGTATGCTGATTGGGAAAGAGCCAATATGTTGACTATATAAACTAAATGAACACACTAGCACACAACAATACCATTATTCTATTTATTGTTTTAATTTTTACTGAAAGGCATGTATTATATTATGATTTTTCACTTTGGTAAAATCTAATACAAGAGTGCCTTAGTTTTAAAAGAACAATTAACACTTGCCAGGTTAATTGGCATTAAAAACAATAAATATATTTGTAATAAGCATTATATCCTAGATGCAGAAAGCCATAATACTGTATACACGCCTATGATGTGGATAATATATACTAGCAGTTGTTCCTTTTAGGCTCAAGACTGTTACTATTAGTTTAGCTGCTCAATGAGTCCATAGTTCTCTGGTTCCCCATTCCCCCCATCCCCCTGTTCCGCCATTCTTTAGTTTCCCCATTCCCCGGTCCCCCCCCCCTGACTCGTTTACCGGTTTCACCGTTCACCAGTTCCCCCCTCCCGCTATTCCCGCATTCTCCCCTCCCCACATTCCCACATTCCTCTGTTCCCCATTCCCACATTCCGCATTCCCCCTCCCCCATTCCTCTGTTCCCCATTCCCCCATTCCCCCATTCTCTGTTCCCCCATTCCCCTCCCCCATTCTCTGTTCCCTCATTCCCCCATTCCCCTATTCCCGCATTCCCATTCCCGCATTCCCTTCCCCCATTCCCGCATTCCCGCATTCCCCCATTCCCGCATTCCGCATTCCCGCATTCCCCATTCCCGCATTCCCGCATTCCCCCATTCCCGCATTCCCGCATTCCCGCATTCCCATTCCCGCATTCCCCCATTCCCGCATTCCCGTATTCCCCCATTCCCGCATTCCCCCATTCCCGCATTCCCCCATTCCCGTATTCCCGCATTCCCCATTCCCTATTTTAAAGATAGCCTGCTACGCCCACGCTTCAGGATCACCAACAGCGTATTCGGAAGTTGTCGGTAAAACATCGGCTTCGAATATGTACCATAAAATCCTAAAATAAACACATAATTTTGCCCATTGATGTCTCCTTTGGTGGATGCAAACACAGATTATGCATGCGTAAATAAAAAACAGTTAGTATTTCGGCTAAATTTACTTTTTTAAAACAAATATATTTGTCAAATCGAGCTCGGCTGTCCGGCAAGCATCTTCGGGTATCGAATCGTGGCGTATGTGATTGAGAATACAAGATGGCGGACGAAGTGCTCGATTTGGAAGTGGCGAGAAATAAGATGAAAGAATGGCGAGATGAACCGCCAAGGAATAGCGAGGAAGTTATTGAGCTAGGGGAATCGCTCATTGTTGAGCACGGGAGCAAGCTTGGCGATGAATGTATGTCCTTTATGCCTTAATTTAAAAAGAAAGAGAGGCCATATACACTTCAAAGCATCGCTTTTTAATTTTTTTATTTTTCATGCCAATCGTACAGTGTTAGATTTAAGATTGTAAACAGGTGGGCTCGTGCTAAGTGCTGTCTTCTCGTCTGCCTTTTCCCAAACAATTTTCGTCTTGTGTCTATACTTTATATATAAAAACCCTTCACCTCCGGAAAGGAATGTAAATGTTGTATTATACTAGTATTGTATTAAAAAGCAATGTGTGTGTTCAGTTTTAAACTGTGCAATACGCTCGCTGTAATTTCTAGTGTGGAGTGTTTATGAACAGGTTTTGATTGCTGCTCTGGATTTGGGAAAAACTGATCTGGCAAGTGTAAGTTGGCTGAACAAGATAATTGTTTGGATGCATCCAAGTACTCTTAGATCCTTGAATTATTGATTTTGATGTTTCTTGTTCTTGTAGATGTGTCTGAAAGCTTTGAGTTCCCAGTTTCCTGGTAGCCTGAGAGTAAAACGATTAATTGCAATGAAGCACGAAGCACTCAATCAGTTAGTTGATGATTTTAAATATTAGTTGATCAATTACTATTGATTGATTCATCATCATTGATTATGTTATCAGTAGTAGTCATTAAGTAAAAAGTATTAATTGATGAGCTTTATTGATCAATTAGTGTTAATGATAGATCATATTGATTATTCTATCTGATTATTATTGATTGATTATAAGTATTGATTGGCAGTATTGATTGATTTGCTGTTTTCGGTTTATCATTGATTGATGTTCATTGATTGTATCAATCAATATTGGTTGATTATGTTGAGTGATAATGGTGAATTATGACTACTGATTTGGTCATTGATTGTTTAAAGACGAATCTTGACTGATGACGAGTTAGTTGATAAATTTTCCGTCCAGATTGATAAATTTCAACTAACAAAAAAAATCATAAGTGTCCAGGTCATTGATGAAGCACCTCAAATATCAATTTCAGATTTGATAAAGCAACCGAGATGTATGATGATATGATTGCAAAAGAACCTGCCAACTCAGTATGAAAAGAATTGTTGGAATTCCTTGTATTTTTCGTGGAGTAATTTCTGCAGTTTTTCTACACTGTCCTTCATATTCCATTATCTAGGCACCATATAAGAGAAAGATTAGTATTTTAGTTGGACAAAACAAGATTTCTGAAGCTGTGAAAGCTCTGAACGATTACCTCAAAAGGTTTACGAACGAAGAATGTTTAGTCTGTTATTTTTTTAGCTTGAAACAAACACAACCGCAGACCATTTTCAAATGTAGTGAATTTCATTTAGGTTTATGAGTGATCATGAAGCTTGGGGTGAATTGACAGATTTATATATCTCCCAACAAGAGTAAGCGAATACGCCTTATCAGATAACGCGATTTTGACATAACTCGCATACCGATATCCAGGCAATCCTGTAAACATGAAATATATTAAAGGTTCTGTACAGACTGGGTGCTTGGTGCATGTACTGTACCATCACTTGTTTTGTTGCTTGTGTTAAGAAATGATATCGATTAAGGTTTCCAGAAACGTAAGCACTACCTTTAAAGGTAGTACTTAAAAAAACTGGCAAAGTGCCCAAGATGTTTTAAGTGCCAGCTTTTTGAAATTTGAACGCCTTTGCTGGGATTCTAGCAGTCTCCAGCTGCGCTGGCAGATAATCTGTGTATAGAAAAAAATCCAGGTTACCAATCACATTTTTTGATCACTCGCAGTGCCAACGAAAAACTCATTCCTCAGCAATTGTAAATGATGTTTAGAAAGGTAGTTGTTCTTACTTTTCAGATTCTCAAAAGCTGCGTTTTGTATGGAAGAGCTGATCATATCCAACCCTCACAATCACCTGTTCTATCAAAAATATGCGGAGGTGAAGTAAATAATGGATGAAGGAATAAGTATATCTTCAAGTGTTTTGCTAAAACGTTTCCAACTTCATTGCAGATTCTATACACGATGCGAGGTGTCGAAAACCTCGAGAAATCCCGGAGTTATTTTTCCCAGGCTTTACGCTTGGATAACAACAATATGCGAGCTTTGTACGGCTTTTTCATGGTTGGTAAACGCGGTTTCTATACGTATATCATGACCCACGAACCCCGAAATACTCTAAATAACATCTTTCATTTCATTCCGAACATTCGTTGTTGTAAAAACTACTCGCCTTTGGTCAATTGTGATAAAAAAATTCACCAAAATAAGCGGATATTCAGAGAAGAATATCGTATTTCTTTCTTAAATTACACGACTGATTATCTTTGCTGAAAACTTTTATTTAAAATACTACAGGCGGCATCAAGCTTGGCTAACATGCCCAAAGCCAAAAATAAGAAAGAGAATGCGAAATATGCCTCGTGGGCTGCGAGTCAAATTATGGAAAAATATCAGGTAATGATTGGTCAGGAAAATTTAATGAAAAATTGGGGAACCCATTTGATAGTGGAAATAGAGAATAGCAAACATATCTTCGCGCCACCAAATCATAGCAGCCCAAGCCAGACGACTTACAGATTGGATATAACGATGTTTCTGAAAATGATTTTTGTCGCCTTATTTTACACATTAAGTGAAAGAAAATATCGGGAACATGCAGTGATATCACAAAATTTTGAGCAATATTAAGACTTTTTTCAACTCTGTTTGAAAAGAACGAACTCTGAAAGCAATTTGTTTATCTGAGTTTAGATTGTAAAATAATCTTTTTTCCACAGACAGCTAACAAAGATGGCGACTACGATTGTGGCAAATTGTCGAGCATCGAAAATCTCTTGGATTCACTACAGCTAACAGCACCCAGCGACGTCCCTCATTGACATCCTCTCGTGTACCCGTGATACCCTTGGTGTACTCCATTGTAGCCTGGGACACTCCTTGTTCAAAATAACCCCCCGCAAAAGATCACTTAAAGCTCATTTTTCATCATGAAAACAAGACCATGACATTATTACCTGGATATGCGACTCTTCGAATTAAAATACATCGGAAATGTATTTGTAATTATTGCCAAACTAAACATTATTGGAAATAAATGAAAAGATTTTAAAACATTATTTTGTTCTCTGAACTTTGATTTAAATAAAGCAGACAGACCCGTGAGACAAAGCACAGGTTTTTCAAACATCGTGTTTGTGCCAAACGCATTTAAACACAATAGATAATTTGACTTGCCTCATCTATTGTTTTTTGTTTTGGCACATGAAAAGGACCATGTTTGAAACAGTTTTCCCTTACGGACCGACCAAAAAAGGTAGATTTCACGGGCCTACAACATGAATTGTGTCAAGAGGTTCATTAATTCTGGTTTCATTCAGTTTGATAGGTATATCCACTGGTCTTATCCAGTGTCCTACAAGATCAGTGTTCTATTCCAATTTTAAGGTCTGTTCATACGATCCAATTTTGTTGGATCCAATTCACTTCTAACGGATGAAATATAGTCACTGTCTGTCAAAATCAGGGATTTCTATAAAAACTGGAACGATAACTAACGGTTATTTCACCGCAATCTTCAAAATTAATTTGAAGCCGAATTTAACAATTTCCAAAAAAAAAAATTAGAATCACTTCAAATTTGCATAGCGCGCGTCAGATTGAAAAATGGCCACCTCAGTGGAGCACGGCCCGTGCTCCGCTACACGCTTTTACACGCGCACGTTTTCGCCAGCTGTCGACGAAGAATTTTGCCGACGGCGAGGGGTTTTTTTACGTTAGTTTAGCGATGGGAAAATGTTTCCCGCTATATACAAATTGCTGAAAATTATAACCTGCTGCCATTGACGTAACTCAAGCAAAACGGAACACACACTGGGAAGCTGGTGGTGAAAAATGGCTAACAGAAGGCTTGTTATCCTCAATCGATTTCAACGTCCGGACCAAGTACCTTGGGGCTGTTAGGCTTTCCCATTGTGGATATTCCGATTGGATTTAAGGCTTTAGAGATTTTGATTACTATGATCTTAATTTAATATACTCGCATTTAATTTAGTCAAAATAATAAAAAATAGCAAAAACTTAAGCAAGCGTATGGCAATTTTTGTCTTTGTGCGCGTTTGAGTTTTATTAAAATTGTGTTTGTTGTACAGATTATTGCAATATCTGTTGCCTAAAATCCTTGTAGGTCTATGATATGAAATATCAGCCTATATAGTAGTAGTACTTGTCTTTGTCAAATAGTTTTTTCCCCAGAAATTTTCGTTTATGAAAGCGGAATGAAAATAAAATCACCAAAACATTGCTTGTTAGTTCATTCGCACGATAACGAATATCCCAGCCGCTACCATTGTCTACACTAATCTTCTTTGCGCTAACCAGCCAACCTTACTGGGGGGCTAAAGCCATAGAAGCGAATTGAGGATTTTGTTTACATTATAAATATTTTCATGCGCTCAATTTGAGCATAATTCGTGTTCGAGTATCATAATTCGTGTATCAAGTTGACTTGCAGTCTTGCAATCAGTGTGCAAATCAAATCACAATCGAATCACAGGAAATTTCAGGGAATATTCCGACAGTCTTCTGAACGCAGGGATAAATGTGGGAATTTTGAGAGTTCCTCGTCATGTTTACCATATATGTTCACGGTTCTAGTGTATGGTAATTTAATTACTTTCGTCGATCGGAAATTTATGCCAAAACCGTAATTGGCATAAATATCGCTTTTAATCGAGTAAAAAAGTACTTGAAATATCAATTACTGGTGGTCTTGCCGTCCATGCTGCGAACACGTGACATGTCGTTCCATGAAATTACAATTTGACAGCACTTAAAATCCTGCCCTAAGATGGTGTCGCAAATTCCTTAAAAACTTTTCAAAGATTATTTATTTCTCGAGTGGGATTACGCAGGTGAAAAAAAGCCAGCTTCTTTGGGATCAGCTTATTTACGTTAATCATAGACAATTTAAATGGCTATATTTTTTCACCGGATAGAGATAATCCATGACTTAACGCTTTCATCTTTTCGCTCATGCCGACACTGTTTTTTCTTTCAACGAAATGCCTTTGCATTCCAAAACAACTATAACCTAGCGCTTCTCCACAAATTTGATCTCAGTTTTTCAACTCGACAATTCCAAGCAATCCATTAAAGGCTTATCGCCCAGTATTTCAATCAATGAAATAACAAACAAAAACGACATTTTCAAATAAAGACAAAGGCCCGTTTCAGAATTCGAGCTTTTCGTCGTTATCAGGTTTCAGTGTACGAAACGGGCCAAAGTGTCGGGAAATTTTGGTATATTTTTAGCAGTTCCTGTACAACGTATGATAAGAAGCTATTTATAGATTCTGCTACGCCTGACGCCTCTCTTTCTCAGTCTCTCTCTTGTTATTACCATTATCAATCATATTAATAAAAGTTCAGAAACGGAAAAGTTTCATCATGGATAGATGATTATAGATCTCGCTCTTTTTAGATTCGATTTTGTTTGCAGTTTTCTACGTGCAAAATATTCATTATTGTCACAAACATATCGATCTTTAACCCCTCATTTCTCAACACAATCATTTGGTGTTTCCGATTGAACTAGCTATATTGAGCCTTATCGCTTAAACGGAACAAAGACTGGACTTTAGTCTGCATACTACAAGTATAACTTATCACAATTGCATCTAGAAACTGATCAATGAACATGCAAACAGCTGACTTGTTGGCGTTTTAAAAAAGGACGCGGTTGCTGCAATCTCTAAGACCAACTGGTTCCTCTCAATCGTGATAAAAAAAAACTACACTCTAGCTTATTTCTTGCAAGGCCGTCTTTCGTCACACTGAAGTGTAACAGGCATTTTGAAGAGTTCAACTGCGGAGCGTTGACAGGCTATAAGACCACCTCAAACGCACATACAAGAGCGCTAGAATAGGCTTAATTCAAACCATAAGACGGCGTTTTGAAATCAATTAAAAACCCATTTTTATTGTGGGTAGGTTTGCCGTGAAAACGCCTCGGAAATGAGAGCAGGCTGTCAGACGCGAAGGGCGGTTTCTGAGGCTAGTAAAGACGAAGGCGAGGCGGGTTAAGGGTGGGTTTATAATCCTCACCGATTGGGCGTTTATTAAAAAAATCAGCGTACTGTCAAAATAAAACAGAACGCATTCTTAACCTCCGCTGCGAAATTGTTTGCTGTCTGGCCTATCAGATTGCGCGAATCGCCTCGGGGATGAGCACGTGTCGCGTTTCGACCAATCGGAACGCGTGCGCCGTGCTGCTATCGTGCGCATCAAATGCTAATGCAATTACCAAACGAAACAAAGTATTTACAATAGCAGAGTTGTTCAACAGGCGTCAATTGCCGAGAGACGATCGTGCCGTTTGGTCGAACCGCGAAAAGTATAAATCTGGAAGCCTGTGGTCAAAAACTGTGCTCAGGACAGTCGGAAATTTCGCTTGTTTCTTGGCAGTCAACTCTAATTTGACGAACCCTAAAAACACAGGCTGGCTGTGGCTAGCCAATGGCGGAATCCTCGACGCGTTTATATAAAATGGGAAAGTACACACACGTTAATTGTCGGCATTGTATGCGACCGAAATTGTCAAACACTCATCACGTTAGTCCGAGACGCAATTTAAAAGACTTAAATGAACGAAGGCGTAATTCGGAGGGGCAGAATGAGATGATGCGTCGGGACTACAAACAGAATACGAATGATCCTGCTTCGGATTTTTCCGGGAGATGTGCGTCAGACGTATACTCAAGCGACGCGCACAGCACCGAATCTCGCATAAATTGCGCAAATTCTTCGTGCGAATACCGAGCGGGCGAACAACATCGCGCCGCAGGAAAGGAAATCGTGTACCGTGAGAAAAGGGACACGAAAACTCGGAGGCAAAGAAACACCGAGAAACAACCAAACGGTCGCAGGTTTTTGACCCGTTCAGCGTCGTGTGGGAACGTGGGTTACGTCGGGTACCCAGGCAACGAGACATGCACAAGCTCTGGAACGGATAGCGAATGCTCTGACGCATTCGAAAGCTCGTCTATTGATACTTGTCTGGAGTGCAGCAACGATAAAAATTCGCTGGAGAGGCACAGGGGGATTGCCAGCATGCCCAATCTGATGAAGGGCTTGCGCGGAAATAATCAAACCAGAGATGAGTTAACGCAACAAGCTGGTAATAATCATTTGGGTCTGGAGGTTATGCTTTCTTTGATAAATGGACCAATGCAATCCGTAATTGACAGTAAAGACGAGAAGATAAAATCGCTCGAGCGGGTTGTTGAACGTTTAGAATACGAAAATAAACAAATTAAACACGAACAGCAACCGGGGGATGCGACGAAAATATTCACGTTGGAGAAGACGTTAGAGAGCTGTGTTCGACAAATTGAACAGCTGGAGGAAGCGAAGAAAACTGCGCTGGAGAAAGTCCGCTTGCTCGAGGATCTTCGTAAAAATGACAAGGAATGCATCGATATCCTGCGAACGCAGACCAGCGACCTCGAGTCAAAATTAACGAAGAGCGATGAACGCGTGAGGGAGGTCGAGAAGGACGGGAAAACGCAGAACCAGTGGTTGAAACAGCAGTACGAGAAACAGATCGAGGAGCTCCAGGGCGCCCTGCGTTCCAAGGAAGTGAAATTGCGTGATCTGGATCGCGTGAAGTCACGCGTTGCAAAACAGAAACAAGATCTTGAGGACAAGAGAAACGGCGAAAATGAGCTGCATGCCAAGATGTGTGAACAGGTTTTGGAGCTGAAACGCGACCTACAGCTCCATCAAACCAGGTGAGTACAGATATGACCAATACTACCGGCATCTTATATACACGCGAATACCTTAACAGAGAGCTTTCTGTCGTATGATCTTGATTCAAATTATCATGTTTTCTTTAGAAATGCGCGCAGTTTAAAAAGCTATAAAACGTGTAAACAACTTTATTTTCTATTCAGAAAAGTCGTTTCCTGATATTCACCGTATACATTCATACACTCTTAAATAAAACGGTTTTTATAACATTGTCAAAGTTTCGTTTAATAATAAAGAGAAGGTCAAGTTTATTTTAATAAGGGCTAGCTTTAGTTTACCGCGTCAAAGTGTATATCCTGCTGCCGGAAAATGTAAAAGTTTATAATATTTTGCCTCAGGTTGAACATATTGGAAAGGGAGAAACGGTCCTTGGAGGAGAGTCTTTCGCAATCAGAAAATTTACAGAGACAGGACCAGAAGTCCTCGTATGTCTTGCAAATGAAAATCGTTGAACTTCAGGAGAAATTGGACATGAGTTATCGAAAAAACGAAGAACTCGATAAACTATACGAGGCATCTGAAGCCAAACGACAAGTTCTCGAGGGGAGATTGAAGCAGGCTTCAACCAAGTCACCAGGTAAATGGTTAAGTGTTGATAGCGCTAGAGAGGGTCTGCCTAATTTGGCTGATGTACACGGAAGTTAATCCAATAAAGGGAGCAGTAAGTGTGTTAGCATTACCAATTAGTTTACAATACAATACAATACAATACAATGAGTGTGAAGTCAGAAATGTTCACTAAGGCATCTAATATCCTATCATACTCCTTTCTATTCTTTTCTATTCCATCATATCCCATCATGTTCAATTCATTCATTCTCCCACTATCCCATTATTATCTCTATTGATTTTCCTCATACCCGCTGTTCCATCATACCCTTTTTCCATTCTATCCAATCCTAACCCGTCCCATCCCATTCTATCCTATCTCATTCCATCCTATTTCATTCCATTTCAGCCAGTTCTATCTTTTGCTATCAATTTCTAAGGTATATTTTCCATTCATCACAAACAGGTACGGCTCAAACCGCGCAGCTACAAACGGGAAGAAACGAGACGAAGCCGGAGAGTCTCGAAAGAAGTACGACAGTTCTTAACCGTCCGATGAACTTAGATATGAACGATGTACTCCGAGAGAAAGTCGTTGAACTTCAGAAGAAGCTGTTGAAGGGACAGCAAGCAATGCACCAAGGAGACGGTGCCTCGGAAAAACGTCTGTTACAGAATCTTAACTTTTCAGAGCGGGACAGCCGCGCGTCTCTTCAAGAGAAGTGGGAACTAAAGGATGATAGCTATGATGATATCATTGAGGAAACGGTCCCCGTGAGGGATATGCCTGTGAAGAAGGTTTGTCCATTTTATTCTTACGTATCTTATGCGTCTAGATCATTCTAGCAGGGTTTACTTGGTTTGCAAGGACTTTTGAACAGTCAAACGCAGTCAGGAAAGCAGTTTCCAATAGGGAAATGACATTAAAGAAAGTTGAAAGAGAAACACTGAGTAAAACATTGCAAAGCAGTAAGTACTGGACTAGTCAGGCTAGTATTAGTAGCAACAGGCAGCTCTCAGTCAGACTAGCAACAGTCAGCACTCAGTCAGACTAGCAGTACTGCATTGATCAACTGACATTCAGGAAGGTTGAAAGTAAAACACTGAATAAAACATTGCAATTAATACTATAAACAGGTTATCCGGCACTTATTAATAAATAATAATAGTGAGTACAACAGTTTTTCAATGACCAGGCAACTAACTTGAAAATGAAAAATCAGAAGACAAAGAGGCCCGGGAAACTAAGCATTTGAATATACGATAATTTCGTGTCCTGACACATTTTGAATTTGCCTGTAATGCACAGCCTTAGCCCCGGCTTCAATGTCAAAAACAACTTTTCATCGCCTTGACAAGTTTAAATGCTCCATGTGAAAAGACGTCGCAAGATTCAAAGCTTCGCAATGCGCTGTGTTCACAATACTGATGATGCCTGTCCTGGCAGTCCTGCTGTGTAATCCGATTAGCAATCGGAAATGCGAGAAAGTGGTTTGGCATTCTATGATGTGTCAACATATACTTGTAATTTTGTGGGAAAACCCGGCGCTCTATCGTAAACATACATATAACTGAAATAAGGAATAGCACGAGAAAGATTTTGGTGAAAATATGCTCCATTCGACGAACTAAGCCACACATGAATCAGGGATGATCCTTACTGGGCCTCTAGGTAGAACTGATAAAGCTATCCAGTATAAATAAAGTTGGTTTAGTAACTTTAGTTTAGGTTTCCTCCTGTAGTAACATTGGATCAATAAGATATGAACCTTACTGGACCTCTAGGAAGAACAGCTCGGAACTGATAGAACTATCCAATATAAATAAAGTTAGTTTAGTTTAGGTTTCCTCCTGTAGTGACACTGGATCAATAAGAGATGATCCTTACTGGACCTCTAGGAAGAACAGTTTAGAACTGATAGAGCTATCCAGTATAAATAAAGTTAGTTTACTTGGGTTAAAGTTATACGTTAGTACTCAATATGACAGCATATAAATGCATGCAAATGTATAAAAAATTGTACTCTTTTAAACGATAGTTAATGAGACCACGCGCGCTGCACAAGGCATGCATGCGAAAATGTTTATCCTTGTGCATCAAATATCAGACCTGCGCTGTTTGCAAGCAAGCGTACCGCGAGAAGCCTTGCTAATCTTCAATGCAAAACACATGTTTGCTCGATTGTTTCCTTAGAGCAGAGACCGATGCTTGTGAAGATAAACTTTCTGATAGCCTTAGAAGATTGTCAGGACGTCATGCAACGGAAGTAATAGAATTTAAAAACATCTCTTCAACATACGTTGTTTGGTTTAGCTAATAACGTTTGAGCAATTTGGAGTAAACACGTTACTTTCGCCTTTTCGGCTTGAAAAATGACTGCAGGCCTAATTAGTTTTGCATGCAGACGCATTGCGCTGAAAGTTTTGATACGAACCCGATATACGACCGTTTAATAAAGACAGTTCAGCGGATCATAATCGACGTTTCAAAGTCTCCATGCATATTTCATATCCGATTATAATTTTGCATCGTGGCAAAAAAAGCTAATAAAAACCCCCATGGGCTTCAACAAATTCCAAACAATGTCAGTGTTTTTTAAGCCTAATACACGTTTTGCATGCACTTTATTAATTAAACACGATTTCACTGATGCATGATTTACTGTTTTTCTGCAAGAACACATAAAAATTAGCTCATGAAGCATACTTTACCACAGTATCAGTGCAAACATGATAAACTCAGGCATATTGCTTGCACGTATGAACATTCTAGAATATTCTCAGCCTGTTGGGAACGCTTATTTTTCAGTTATTAAGGAACTGTGAAACAGCAATTGTAAAGTTTTCCTTCTCAGAGCGCTTTCCGGACCGTAACCGAGACAGATGAGCGAAAATATTTCTTGAATAAACATTCCCGCAGCTACAAGCATGAAATTCGACCGTTGCACACCTTAAAAGTTACATAAGATGCCTCGGAAAAAAAAAGCACGGTAGGTTGTCTCGAAAGTATCTTGGCAATTTGAACTAGGTCAAAGACGACCCTAACAGCGTAAATATTCGCAGTTCACGGATAAGAAGAGCAAGAATGGTTTATCTCATCAACTCGCATCATAGCTTAACCGTTGCTTTATTCGTTGCTCTAACCGTTGCTTTGACCGTTGCTTTATCCGTTGCTTTATCCGTTGCTTTATCCTCAAAAACAAGGCTTCCTTTCAACACATTATCCGTTCTAGCGGAGACAGGATTTTAAAGACAAGCCGCAAAATATCTTGGCGATATAGTTGTGGGAACAGCACTTGCGTGAAATAGTCAATTTCCCAGAACGTTGACCAAATAATACTTAACAACAGATAACTCAAACGACAAAATAAGCCGAGCGCCGCAAAACAAAAACGACAACTTAGGGGCTGTTTACATGAGCCCGGTCACCCGAGATTCAACGAAGCGTGTGATGATTTTGAGGTATTGAAATGAGCAGATAGCATGATTTTGGAGTCGTATAATCACCCGAACAATAGCATGTGCTTGTTTGGTGTCATAAAGATTTATTTCAATACCTCAAAGTCCTCTCACGCCCCGTTGAATCTCGGATAACCGAGCTCATGTAAACAGCCCCTTATTTGCGCTAAGGCTGTTTCTTTTAACGGGTGTGTAATCAGCAAATAATTATACAAGTGCAATGAGAACGAATTTCGCAAGCGTACCAAAAAGCATCTGCGTTCAGAAAGAGCTATTTTGAAGGCTTAGAGTAGCCACGAGTGTTTCTGAGCGTTTCCAAACATTCATGAACATAAAACCAGCATGTTTTCTTGCACAGTATTCAAAGAAACCGTTCTCCCCCCCCTGTTCATGTAAATCAAAATTTCATCAACATCATGAAAAGCGCAGATAGTTTATCAAGCTCTATTTCCAATCGGAATTCCGATCAAGCTCTCAGGATTCTCTCACAAATCAGATGATCGAATTCAAAACATAAACAACGCATGAAAAATGTGGGTTATCGTGTAACTTTCAACACACCGTGTGATGTTTTTATATCTGCTTTTGAAGAGCCACAGTTTGCTATGTCTCATTATAACACTAAAATGTTTATCGCGCAATATGTTTATGGCGTCATATCAATATTTGGTATTTGCATAAAACGCGTGCGTGCGGCGTGCGGTGCTTCCACTCAAATTTCAGCATTTCCAAAAGAGAGATAGCGATCCTATCGCCCACATTAGACCGAATCTTGTTTGAGACCGAATTCTGTAGGATATAAACGAACTTAGTTTATTTTTTACAAAGCCTACAAAGTGTTCATCAGTCGATCCTACTTGTGCTCAGTGGAGACTCTCGGTAAAGTACATAATGGATGAATACCTTCGATTCCAAGCATTCTTCAAATAATTACATCAAGTTTGAAAACAATTTTCAGCTATTCGACTGCAGAGAATTACCGCCCTAAGGGAAAGCATGCTGTATCTTAGTTCGGCCAATGTTTTTGCAACACGGATTCAAATTAGGTGGTGTAAATATTACCATATGGAAAAAAGGTCTGATTGCTCATTTTAGTCTGAATAAATATGGTTGAACGATATAGACTCGCCTCACCGCAATGAAAGATTAGGAGATATCAAAACAACCTTTTACGATTGCGCCTGTGTTTGCCTTTAATATACAACAGAGCATAAACGGAAAGAGAACAGAAACGCATCAGAATATTTGACTAACGCAGGGTTATCTTCATGGCTTACGTTTTCAGTTACCATTATTGTTGTTGTTATTTGGGTAGCAGTTTATAATAGCCTAATCTGTTAGCGTTTCTTTCATGACCAGCTTTTGTTAACCCTACCTAAGACATTTTTATTGCATTGTCAAAGACTCTGTGCCCCACCCAGGATTAAACGAAACGTGAGATGATTTTGAAGTATTGAAATAAGTCTTCGTGAAAGCAAACAAGCACATGATACTGCCGGGACGAACGCACCACTGCCAAGAACAGGATGTTTACTTATTTCAATACTTCAAAGTCTCGCTTCGCTTTGAGTGAGCTTACTATCCGATTAGGGAGAAAGTAGAACCATAAGATATGAGGGCGTTGGCTCCCTGTACACACACACAGTCACACGCATTGCCCTACCACCTAGGAATTCTTGATAAATGCAGTGAAACCGACCAGATTGCAATAACACAGATGTCCTAATTTAGCACTTACTCAATTTAAAGCCAGACAGTGTAAATTGGTTGTCGGACACTGCAAGTCGATGTGTAGATAAATATGGTGAAACGCGAGAGCGTCAGACCGACAATTTTCGCGATATCCCATTATAGCCATGTCTAAGATCTTGCCACGTTTCGTCATCATCGATTTATCGCGTGTCGTTTGCAAACGCCATCTGACGAAACTTGTAGTGAAAAGCCAAACGACTTCGAGTTTCGTCAGATGGCGTCAGCAGCAGCGAGGAATCTTGTTATCGTAGTCACTGCTACCTGCTAAGGCCGACCAGCTACACACCACTTTTTTCACGGTGGGCATAAGCCGCATAACATGGACCTAACAACGAGATCTCTCCGCGTTAGCTCGTCGTTACAAGATTATAACTAAGCCCATTACGAAATTATGAGATTTTGTCCGCAATGACGTCTATAGAAGATTGCTTGTCTAGAACTCAATCTGTGTGCCACAGACAACGCGATTCATGCGATGGTTTGATAACCACGTATATTTGTTCAGGACCGCAGTGTTGCTTCTTAAATGCGCCGCAATATTTACTCGGTGTCGATTTCGGCCATTTTGCGTCTCTTTATCGATTGAATATTGTTCCAGCGTTCTGTTAACACGATGCATGAAAACATTACAAATGTAAGCTATTCACCGTGATGTCTGTCGTTAGTTAATTGGGGCGTTAGTCATTCGTCCTTGTTGCGAACACACAAGTCACAAGGCCACGCGAAAGCGAGTCTATATTGACCTTAACATAGTCGACAGTAGGCTACATTCATTTAAAGAATCTATTAGAACTAGAAGGAAGACTTTCCGATACTCAGATTTAATTTATACTGCAAATGGAAACACAATCATCCATCATCCACAATCATCCATCACAAAAGTTATTTGAAGAGAAAGTGGTTTCGTTTAGATCATAGTGACTTAGTTCAGAGAGCTTTAATTACATAAAGACACTGAGTAGATTGTCTTAAATTTTATAAAACGAATGCTAAGCCGCTATCACGGGGTCCCCTTTGGCCCTTTAAGACCACAAAAATCTCGACGAGTGAAGACAGTGGATGCATCAGTAGCGTTGAATTACAGTGGTTGAGGTGGTGGCGTACCCAGCCAAAGGCACTTTTTATTCCTCACTTGCACACGTTGAAGTTAACAAAATTGTTTATGTACAATCTAGCTAATCTAGGAACATGCAACAATTACCCTTTGATGCTGACTTTTTATTTGTTGTTTTTTAGGAGTCGACCTTTACTGAAGATAAAAGGTAAGACGATTATAGATTTTTTAAAAGGTTATTAATTAAGGTCATTAAAAAAGAACTCAATTATGCGCTTTTATAAATGGATAAGGAAATCTTAAAACATCCAACCGAAAAAAAATTAAGTTTAAGCTTTCATTTTTGGTACAGTAAAAGCGATACATTCCCAATAGTTTCTGCAAAGAACAACGGATTGGAAGCCCTGCTTTAAAGTATTAAACTTTCGAGTAAGCAAGATTTTGGATGGGAATTTCGTCAGGAACACTCCGAATAAGGACGATCCGGACACCAGCAACAGCTTGATAGCCTAATGACTGCATGTGTGACTTCAATTTCATGCCTTATTTTATACTTTATCAAAATTCGTATTTGTTACCAGGCCCTCATCAGACGACAGTTCTAGTGCCAGTAGCAGCGCTTCATCTTCAAGACGAGGCTCGGCCGAGTCCCCGCGATCAACGAGGTTAGTTTCCGTTTATCTGCACGCTTTGAAAACATGATTCGCTAGCGGCAAGTGAGACTGCATGCTTCACTGTAAAGCCTGGTTTCCATTTAGTGGTAATTCTCGTGAATTAACAAGTCATTTTTACCGATGTATAGATGTAAATTCGCTTTATTTCTGATTCAAATCGGTTAATGTTGAAACAATCCCTGTACACATTTTCTAATAGGGTCAATCACGACTGGAAACCACGTTGCATGGCAAATCACCCCGTGCAATTATTCTAGAGTAATATTCTATGATTTCTATCCCTACCTTACACCGCGCAAATCATACCCTACGATTCCATCTCATCTTCTTTCTGTCGCCGGATACCAATACTCGGGGTAATGAAACGCCAAATACGGTTTCCGAAGAAAAACTTCACAGGTTACAACAGCTACAACGTCTTGTATATATAGTTTGAAATACTCCCCAGTTTAAATCCAACCCGACAAAATTCCCCTGCCATGAACAAATTGTTCGTGTACATTCACTTGCTCCTATACACGTTGATTCAAAAAACCGATTCCCAAAAGAAAACTTCTCACATTTCTTAACTCAGCAAACTCAGCTAAGCTATACCATATAAACTTCCTAGGCAGTTTAGATAGGAGAGAATCGTTTATTTGAATTTCAAATTTAGGTAGGACAGAATCGTGCATGTTACTCTGGGGAATAGCCATTGATTACTTATTACAATAGTTGTATTGCACAAAGGAATTTACAGCCATTGTTTCGTCAGCCATAAGGAATCAGTATGACAATAACTGACAATGATTGATTTACATAATGAGAGAACAACTGCAAACAGTCGTATAAATCAATCATATGGGTCGAATAATACAATATTTTAACCTTTTAGACGCCAGTTGAAGGTGCTTAAGGTTCGAAAGGTTAGCAAAGAAAACATTTCTCAATTTCAACAGAACGCTGCGTACATGATGTCCCTGGGCAGGCAGCCAGGGCTAAAAGACGTACGTGAAAGTCCCAGTGGTCCACACGAAAACTTAAGCGCTGTTGGAAATCGCCAGACTGCTTTTAGACCGGTGAAAGCCACACGGTGAAGATGTTAAGTCGGTTTTCCACTAGCGATAATTTTCGCGCGAAGCGACATTTTACTTTTGTTTCAGAGCTTTCAATTGCAACCCTCTGGAACAAATTGCTCAAATACAAAGGAATGAATTCGCTTCGCGCGAAAGATATCGCTAGTGGAAAACAGGCATAAGAGTACGTCTACCCACAGGTCTATCTGAATGGTCCTAGAGACCTAGACAAATGGCAACAAATAACACTTCAACCTCTCTGGAGCGAGCACTTTTTTGAAGGGCAGTGCAAGCAGGCTAGCATGACTCAATATTTTGTCGAATTTATTCGTTTAAATATTTTTGCGTGCTAACATGAACATCTATTCTTCATACATTGCAATCATTTGAGATGTCAATTGTCAGAGATTCAGAACTTTCAAGGCGTCTCTCCGGCGTCTATCACGTGGTGCCTGCAGTTATTTCGTGAAGCCAGCGGAATGTCCGCTTACAAAGTGCGCGCCCGAGGAGGGTTAGTGGTATTTCGATGCACACGAAAAAAACAGTAAATTTCGTCAAAATCATCCATGATTCAAGAAGAAAATAAAAATCAGTAGAAACGTTTGTAGGAAAATAATAAATTAAAGGACAATAATAAATTGAATTATTTCTGTGAAATAAAAAGTATAAAATAGCTTTATAAGCAGTAACACATACTTCGTTAAATTCAACTTTATCACCAGTGTCAATAACAGAATTTGACCGCATGATTTTCGCATGGTATTTACCATTTGAAAGTAGTTCCTTTTATCTATCTTTATCAACTGATATAGCCATTCAGTTGTTGTTTTTTCGCGCCAACATAGCAACAGGCTTACTGAATTCAATTTGAATTCTCAAAATCCTGTTTGATTTGAACAAAATTGTTTTAAAATTTACGTCTCTGACGAATGAGTTAACGTCATGCGGATAAATTCACAATTTTATTATCAAAAAATAACGAGCTAATTGTGTAGTAATAATAATAGTATAGCAGCATCAAATGTATAAACTTTTAGAACGAGTAAAATGTTTACGGTTGGCTAGGCTGAAATATATATCTTTTCAAGAAACGATTCGTGAACATCAGAGGGTTTCAAGGAAAACCTATAAGACTGCATTCAGCTTTCATATACAGATCAGTGGCTAAGAAGAGCGAGCGCGCAGGGGTGCATGGTTGTTTTCCAACGCGCGTCCTCCACAACCACTGTCCACAACCAACCCCAGCAAATCGTTCTTGGTTGGTCACAGATCTCTATATGTACCTGAATGCAACTTTATGTTTTCCAATGAAGCGCCTGGGTACGAGCGCCAATCGCAAAGTGTCTCATCTCAGGCAGTGACTGGAAATAAATTTTGTGAAATGCTGATTGTTCAAGTGATATCTTTGCGTAGCATGGACTGAGGTCTTTCCCTTTGAAGAAAACCCATATTGATTTGATACTGGACTTAGAGAGATGCGTTTTACGACAGAATTACAAAGAGTTGAGTGTCGATGTAGTGGTTCCCAGTACAACATTAGTCATTCTTCGGAGCTTTCTTAATTAGTTCCCAGTCTTTCGCTTTTTGCAAACTCTCCATAATGGCTTCCTTTATATTCGCGTCCAGTGATGCATCCTGGGACAATGCGAGGAGAATCTCGAAAGTCTTGCTTTCAACGAGCTGAAGTCACGAATTGCAGAAAAATATTGAAGAATAACACAAATTTCTAACCCTCGCGAAACGGATAAGAAACTCACCTTTTCTGCGATTGATTTGCTTGCTTTCATTAAATTTCTGACAATAAAAGACCCCCTTGAAAATAATATATCACTCTGTTTAACATTTGATGCATTTCATACAATTATTACTAGCGAATACACCGGCAATTTTCAGGCATATTTTGTAAACATGGATTTAATTTAGAAATTGTTTTACCTGTGCTTTAGTTCCTTATTCCCTGAGAGCAATAGTCCTTGCATTATTTCCAACCAAGGTTTGACCTTCATTAAAATTGATAAAGGTTGAAAAATCGCATATTTTGGAATCTCAAACAACGTCGAAATAAAATAAAAATGGTTGTTAAAAGCAAGAAAAGCTGCTGTTGTTTACCTCGGCGACTTTTTCACAAATTTTGGGATTGTCTGTTACGACAGCCAGTGCACCAGAACAAGCCCTGAATGTTGAATTCAAAATAAACATTTAAAATAAAGCCGTTCAGGGCTTGAATATAATCCACTTCAGAATCTATTTATACCTCGCTAATAGTTCATCTTCTTCACCAGAGTATAAAGTAAACAACTTCACTCTTTCCGTTGTATTTTCTTGAAGAAACAAGTCAGCTACCTTAAAAAATTATTCAATGACTCTGTTGAGACTCTTTTTATTTTGACCACAACTACGATTTGAGTACAACCAAGGCCTTTCACTTCACACACACAACAAGGCCTTTCACGCTCAAGAAGAAAGTAATCTTGGTTCATACCTCTTGACAATAAACAAGATTGCACATACACTCGGCCGCAGCCCTCCTGACCATCTCGTGATCCTCGAACAACAAGCTTTCGATGTCAGGAATTCCTCTTTCATGAAAAATATGTTTCCTGCGTAAAGATACGATGAATATCAACTTGTCGCTGTTCCAATACATTCACTGATCTTGGAAGCATGCATCTGGACATTTTCATCCAGTGCTCGTTTCGAGATCAGAGAGTTACCTGACGTCATTGTTCATTCCGGCAAGGTTAGTAAGGGCCATGAGTGACTCGAATTGTTCCAAACTCTGACACGGATAGAAACAAAGTGAGTTTGCAAGTCAGGGGTAAAAAATACAGTTTGCTTGTGGCATACCTTTTTGTCGGGATGAAGAAGCGACAGCAATGGTCGAACCAACTCGAAACTCTGCAATGTAAAATTATTCCCACTGTTAATGAGTCCTAGTCAACCATTTATAAACGAAGTAGACAAATACCTTTTGTCCAGGAAAAGCAACAGCTGGATTCATCGTAATGGCGACCTTTGCCAGAGCATGCGCGGCTATATCTTTACCTCTGTCCGTGTTGACCGTTGTTAGCGGGAGGAGAGCCTATGGCGAACGATTGAAAATTTCAATTTTTTCAAAATACTTAACTGGGAGAACCTTGGGAGCGTGAAGAAATAAAAAAGACTTTATGAATCACCTTAGCGCCACCCTGCTGAACCGTGAGTCCTCGATGTTCCTGGACAGTGACAATACCATGAAATACCCTATAAATCAAGGGAAATACTTCATGAGTATATTTAATGTAAGTTTCCAAATGTGAGTTTTCAAAACGTCCAGTCCATTACGGCTTACCTCGCTATCATCTCTCGACATTGCTTACTCTCGGGTTTTGCCAAGTTTACTAAAGCGTTTACGACCCCTTCCTAGATCAACAAAACCCAACTGTAAACATTACAATATACAAAGAAAACACTGTGTGTGGATTACGAAACCTTTCAAAGAATATAGCTAAACCCAGGGTGATAAAAACAAGAAATCAAACTCGATTATAAATGAGGTAGTAAGCTTCATACCTTAACTAATATATTAATTCTTTTCTGGACAAAATCCTCGTTATCCTGAAATATAAAAGAGAGCAATTCAAGTTCAAGGAACCAGGAAGAATATGCAAAGATGAAAGTATATATACCTTCTCATCATATTCAGGAATGCTGACTTTCGCAAATTTTCCTAATTCCTTCATTTTTTCCGAGTTTTCATTCTTCTCCGGTTTGTCGTAACTGTTCGTGAGGTTGACAAGAGTTTGACAGACGCCGTACAGAAGAGAATTGTCTTCAAGCTGAAGCGTCGATGACAAAAACAATGAGAATAAAACACAATATAATACAGATGCTCTTTCCAGCAGTATGTATACACCGATATATATATTTTCTACAGTTTAAAACTAATGTGCGTAATACCAAATTGAAGTGTATCTTTACAAACCTTTGCCAAGTCTAATAAAGACGTTAATGCTGTGCTATCATGTATCAATTCTTCCTAAAATAACAAATTTAAAAACCTTTACGATGCTAAAAAACTCAAGAATGGTCTATGCAATGCATAATAATTCATACTTTAACGTCAGCATCTAAAGTTAGAAACGACAGTCCTTCGGAGGCCCATTTTCTTAATTCCATTTCCTCTTTCGGTCGCACAAGATAACTGGAAACAGAGGCGAAAGCAAATGGCAAAATTTGAATCCGTAAATACTTTGCATTTTCAAGCTATCATAGCTTTGAGACACGATAATGGCCTGCATGGTGACAGCCTGGTCCTTTAATAATCACATTGAAAATTCAACTTATATGTACACAAACCTTCTTGCGGACTTATATAGTTTAAGTATAGTTTCTTTCTTGTAAACTTTCGAATTGATATCCCCTGCTCCTGTCGAGCCAACTTTACACATTCCCTGAAAGACGGTTGGTATATTTTAGTACGAGGTAGGAAAAACTTGATATTCTGTTACACTGCACGATTTGATACTCACTACGAGTGCACGGACTTGAAGATCTTCATTCGTAGACTTGTAGAGATTTTTCAAAACAGACATTCCCTATAAAACGGTTTCATTACAAACTTCAAATTACATTTTAGAACAACGGCAAATAGTGTTTAGTTTCTTGGCAAAATCTTCACCTAAATTCTCAACTTCCTATTTTCTTTCTTCCTTTATAAAAGAAGTTTTAAAAGAAGAAATTAATTTTCCTTTTCTCAACCAACTCACATACCTTGTTATGAATTTCGCTGCATCTTTGTTTGTTTGAAGCGGCCAATGCAATCACTTCGGCTGCTGCAATCTTTAAAATTTTCAAGAAAAACCAATTAAAAACGGCTTACAAGATGTTATTTACAATACCTGCAGTACTCTAGTAAATTTTATGTCAACCTGTCCGTCTAATTGATCCGATTGAGCGATAGAAAAAACTACTTCTGTAACTTCGGTTTTCGCTAAAATGGCCGCTGCAGCATCGTGAACCCCCTGGAAGTACAATATGCCTTAAGGAAAGACCAGAGGGTGGGGTGAACAGGCTTTAATAGGACGGGGGACAATGAGGATGGAGGAGGACAGTGAAGG